GAAATGGCCCCTTTGTGGGCAGTTCCAACAGAGAACCCAGGGGCAACATGGGCTGTGCAAATCAAACTGCCCAGCCAGCCCTGGCTCTCTCCAGTTCAGGGGTGAGGCAGGGAGCACAGTGCTGTGCCACTGCTTATGTGGGACCTGTTCTGGAAACCATCAGACCCCAGGTGGGGCCAAGATGGCATCTTCCACAAGACTGACTTAAAAAACAGCTCACACACTAAATTCAGATCTGCTCCTCCCCTCTCACCCCATCCATGAGGCTGAGATCAGCCTTTGGGCCAGCCCTGGGCTAGAACGCATGTCTGCTTACTCCATCCGGTTTGCGTAGCTGCCTCTAGCGATGTCAGGGAGATGCATCAAGATGCTTTGCAGTGCCCACCACAACAGCAGCAGCAGCTGATAGTGTCTGGGGATAGCTACCCAGGCAGGTGCCAGCTCATGGGGTCACCTGTACTACATCTGAGGTGATCTAGGAAAGCACAGCCCAGCCAGTGGCCTGTCCTGAAAGGGGAGTCTGCTGAGACCAGAGAACCAGGCAGTCCTGGCAAAGCACTGGTCACAAACAGCTGCAGGGCCAGGCGCAGGGGGAAAGCCCATTGCTAAGAGGCCTGGCTCCTGGAGCAGCACTGGTGCCAGGCCAAGGCAGAGCTGTGTAGGGGGGTGCTCTGGGGCAAGAGCCAGCACAGGTACATCCATGCAGCGCTAGGCACCTGCCTACCCAAAGGGCAAGGGCAAGGGCAAGCCCCAGCAACACCCAGGTTGGGATGGTTCATCTGTGACTTGTGCCAGCACTGAACAAAAGAGAGGAAAATGCTGGGAGGTCCCTCCAGCCTGAGCCTTGTCCCGGAGGCACCAGGAAAGGCTCCTTCCTGTTGTCCTGCATGGCCAGGGCTTGGGGCACAACAGGATCACCAGCTCCTTCCCTTGCCTGGCAGTCCCCCCCTCTCTGATACCGGCTGCCTTGTCACTGGCTGCTTCTACAAGCAGGACCCCAAGCTGAGCTGCCAGGGGGAGGGTGGCGATGCAGGGGTCGGTTGGACGCTAGCAGCCCTGGACCCACAGGCAGTGCTAGGCCTCCCAGGAGCTCCTGGCCCGCATGAGCCCAGCCGCAGCCGCGCTTCCCCCTTGGGATCTGCAGCCCCCGATTTTCAGCTTTGTGCTTCGGCGCTGAAAAGCTCCCACCCCAGCTGCCACCACAAAGGTGAAGGCCCCGCCCCCCCCGCCTTTGGACACCGACGTGGGGACAGCGGTATTCTGCCCTCGCGGCTCTCACCCTCGCCCCCGTGAATCCTAACACCTGCCCAAGCGTGGGCCCGGCCCGACCGGGCCGGAGCCCCCACCCCGCCCGTGTGCAC